CTGCTTTATGTTGATACTTCTCCTGCGTAAAGTTTGGGGAAACAATGTCTATCCATGCAGAATCTGTGCCATCATCCAATTAAAAAACTCAATAGATATCAGAGCCTGTTATCATCGGAGACTGGAGACAGTAGCCTTTAGAGTAGACCAATACAGTCTTTTCCCAACTTGCATCTCTGGGTGGGCACAGAGAGAACAGGTGAAAACCCATTGACTTCCTGGCTTTTGTCTCAGTCCTTGCATATGCTTTCCAGATAAGGTTCCTCTATTCTACTTCAACACTGCAATATTGTTATTCATCAAATTACTTGAGACAATAGCTGGCATCAAATCAATGCATCATTCACAGTTCAATGTACTGAAAGTGTGTGAGATACTGTACTGTATATCCATAACACATTACAGATTAAAGGCTAAAAGCTGGGTGTGGATCTGTTGAACAAAAAAGTAACTTGTGCTATAACAGTCTTTTACAATAATAGGCTAATGTAGTGTCTCCAAATACTCCTGTTTCCATTTCTTCATTTTTACTTTCTTGCTGTCTTTAAGAAGCCAAATCTAAACATGACTTGAAGCAATGTCTGGTTGTTCTACAGTATACATTGTTTTATAAGGGATAAGTGGTGTTGACGGTTTGCCAGGAAGGCGATCAATATCATTCCAATGCCAATGTACTTTGCTCCCTAAAGGCCCTCCCTTCTGTTAGAGGCATGAATCCTCTCTGTAGTACTTGTGCTTTCAGTTCATTCTCAGGTTATGCCCTTTGGCTTTGGGGTCTGTGGTGAACTGTGGTGAGCTGCTGGCTCCCGCAATATTTTTCAGTATGATGGAGACCTCAATTTGTCTGCCTGAAAGTTTGGTTTACAATGTTAAATTTGAATGTAAAACTGAAAGGATTTTTCCTTTCAATTTTCCAAAGACATCGCCTTGAAGAAAATTCAACTAGGTCAGCCAGGGCTGAAAAGAACAATCTGAGTTTTAAAAAGCAAAAATATGCTGTGAACACTATTCAACTTTTCCTTGACTAATTTACTTAATGCCCTTGCACAAACCTAGCAAGTAGTCATTTTGTCTGGGCTTAGTACTTGCGGTTTCTATCAAAAATTCAAAAAATGTTATTCCAAGAACTTCAAAGTTTCAAAGAGAATGTGTTCAATTTATCCGTTTAAAGTTTTAATTAACAGAAACTTTTGACTTTCCACCTAACTCCCTTTAACAGGATACAAGATTCAAGATACAATTCTTTTTGTTTTCATGTCAACAAAGGTAATTGGAAATTGTGCAAGTGCAGCCCAAATTAAATAAAAGAAAAACAACTAAATTTTCACTTACTACACTTACACATACTTTACACATTATTCAGTCTTAGACTTAAAATTTTAAAATCAAAAAGGTCTATTCCACTTATAGTACAGTATGTGTATATTCACTCCCATATGATGCTTACATCAACAAAGATCTGCATACTGAGGCGATACAGAAACCTCTAGATAGGTGCTATTTCAGAACCGAGCAGGACTGCATTTGATACTTTGAAACCTCCTCCCCAAAGTGAGAAGTTTAAAAAGGGAGCTGGCAGGGTGAAAGGGGCCTGTAGACACCATCGTATCTCTCCACTTGATGCGACTGTAACAAACAGAGGCAACAGAGGGAAGATTGTGCTCAGTGATCTTGGATGCTGGCTGCAACACTCTTTCCAGCTGTTTCCTCCCCTGGACAGTTGTATTCCTGTACGACACTGTTGTCAAGAAGGTGGCCACCTTCCCAATCACCGTTCTATAGACGTGTGTTATTTTTTCAATAAAGTATAAAAAAGTCAAACGGGATCTATTTAAATCCTAATGAAAACAGTTACTGATGTATATATGACCCGTATTAAAATATCATCATTGAAAAACAAAGTATATATTGCATTTATTCAGGAAGACAATTCAATCCGTGTCCTAATCTCCTCTAAAAATGATTTATAAGCCAAAACCATGGTTTCCAGCAATTTATTAGCACTGCAGTCACTGAGAGAAAGTGTTCTTTTCTCTCTGTTTAAACTGTTGTCAGCTATTTTTAAAACTTTTTCGGTCAAACGTTTTGCAATTGTTTTATTTTCAAATAGTGCTTTCTTGTTTTTGCAAAGACAGTTTGTGTCTTGCTCCTGTACAAAATTTGCCTTTCATTCTCATCACCAGAAGCAAAGTTAATGAAGTGGATATGTGATATTCTTATTGATAACAACTGATAATACTTTAGTTTAATAGCTGTAATTGACTCTTTACAAATGCACGATGAGGACTTCAAAAGAGTGAGTTCAGTGGCTGAAATGGGAGAAAATGTCCACGAGTCGACAAGATCCCGTCACTCCACGAAAGGGACTTGTATTGGACTGACAGCTAAACATCTCACATTCAGCAGGGGGCTTGCAACAATACTGCGAAAGGCAAAAGGCTTTTTGGTCAAACAAAATTGGAACTTTCAAGTCTATAGTCACACCTGATGCAAACCCAACACAATGCAACAGTCAACAGGGACTAGGAACCTTGTAAAGGTTAATGGGAACATACGGTAGATGGAGCAAAGTACTGGCAAATCTTAGAGAAAAACCTACTTTACATCGGACTTAAAACTGGGACAAAAATTCATCTTTCAGCCAGACAACAATCCAAAGCACAAAACCAGAGATATGCTGGGGTGGCCTAAAAATGTGAAAGTGAATGTTCATGAGAAGTCCTGTCAAAGTCCTGACTTCAATCATATTGAGACTCTGTGCAAAGGCCTATAAAGCGCTATCCAAAACAACCTGTGAGTGCCCGAGCGAATCTGCCACCAAGAAAGGGCAAAAAGTGCACCATGTGAATGTAGAGAGGAGGCTGTCAATGCTGAAAAAGACACTTCAACCACACATTAGGTTCATGGGTCTGAATGTATTCAACATATTTCAGTTTTTCCTCTTTAGTTTTTGCTGTCATTAAGTGCAATTTATCTTTCCCTTCAAAGTCTTCAGTTGAACATTCAGGTTTTGAAGAAACTGTTATGTTTCAAAAAGGTGGATGCAACATTTTATAATTTCACAAAATGAGACACCATGGGAAGGGTCTGAATATTTTTTAAGGCACTGTATATAAATACACGGACAAGTCCTTAGATAAACATCAAGGCTGCTTGTGAGCTATGTAAGACACTTGACCTTTCAACAGTAGTTGGCATTTATATTCCAGACCTGTGGCACATGCCAAGCACCAATGGCAGAGTCACGTACAGTGAGACAGACCTCAGCTTGCTGTTCCAAGAAGGAGGTGTCGCTGCCACCAAAAGCTCAAATACTGAAAAAATAATGACAAAATAGGTGGCTTTGATGCATTAAATATTGAAAAATTGAACTTTACTGTGCTTTGCCCTTGATTACTTTATTTTACCTTTCAGACAATTCAACCTACCTTTTTGGGTCGTGTACAGTGGTTCATGCTCTTTGGAATACAGTCATCGCACTAGAACTATAGAAAGGGAGATTTTTATGTTTTTTTCTAGTGACAAGTTTCTCCTGTCAGAAATGCCACTCTTTCATTCTGGTACTTGCAATGAACTATCGAAACTCAAAGATAATCAAATTTGATTTTCTTATTTTTAATTAAAACAATCTTGACAAAAAACTGCCAATCTTGACAAAAGCACTGATAGTTTTTCTGCTTAACTGCAAAACTCCGGATGTATTAATTCTGCTTTAAGTAGTAATTATTTCTGGTAATACTTAATACTTGGATAAAGCAGTTGGAAAATGGGTGGATGTTTAATACTTGATAATTCTTGATAATTCTGAGGCCACAATTAAATTCTTTGCAATTTCTTGCATTGCCTTAATATGTACACATGATATACTGTACAGTAATTGTTCCACAGGTGATGCTATCAAATGTCCTTCTTCATTGACAGTACAGAAGCCCCTGTTCCAGACACTAATATACACTGTATACAGAAATATCATAGCAATATATTTATGACCAAATGTACCACTCATTTTAGCAAGTTAAATAATAATAATTGAACATTGTGAAATACTACTGCATTTTACACGTGAAATCTAATGTTAAGTCAACAGAATAATAAATCTTGCCAGTTAAGTACAGATTTTGAAATTTACAAAATTCAAATAAAGATACACAAATGCAATTGTCTCAAAAACTGACTTATATAGCATATAACCGAAAACAGTAACCAGAAAAATTAAAACTAGAAAACCTAAAAAGGTTTAAAAAAGTGTGTAATCCCAGGAGAAAATGTATTAAACTCGCTTATTTTCCTTCATTGTATCATATTATTATAATCTTGTTGTATTATCTACTGTAAATGAAACAAAAAATAATTTTCCATTTGTCTCCATTTCAGACAATTACACCTGCTTTGTCAATGGAGATATAAAGACTTATTCACAGGTACAGGTACAGAGAAACCTTTTTTAGAAAAAACAAAAGCATTTTAACACCGGAAATATACTGTATTAAGAGCAGTTGCATACTGTGTTTTGTTCTGCTTACAAGAGCAATTTGCTCTATTAAACATTTTGCTGATCACACAAAAAAACCTGAAGAGGGAAAGAAAATTTCCTTCCCATGCAAGTGCTGGCTCGACCCAGCAAGGGAGTTATTCCCCCACACAACTTATTTCTTTATAAACTGTTAACTGAATAAGTAACAGAATTTCATTATGCAGACCTCTTTATTTTGCCTGCATGTGTTCAGTTCTGACACTGAAGATTACTCTGTGGACAAGAAAATGCAGCTTTGGTGGGGATTGCTTATTGATACATTGAGCAATTTTCCCATTCAAGGATTTTGAAATGACTGGAAAATAAAACAAAAAAGTGGAAACCAAAATCTCATTGAAGGAAGGACACTTCTTCATATGAATGCAATAGAATTGAAACTTCTAAATCATTCAGAGTCAATGTTCAAGTGCATTGTTGTTAATTACATGAAGATGCTGGTGAGAAAACACAAAGATAACACTTCCAGTGAGAAACTGTAGAGCTTCACCGAGCTTTATTTACATGCTCACCATTTCTTGTACAAACTAGATTACAATTCAAAATGGAATACACAGGGAAATATCCACTAACATCAAGTAGAAGCGCTTTACTACTGGAGATCAAAGGGAGAAAGGTTAAGTTCGATGGGTTATCCACTATTAAGGTAGTATGTTCTCATTTTCTTGTGATTACAAAATCTCTCACATTAAAAAAAAAAACTACAGCTCAGGACTTCCCCACCCCCAAATAAAAAGAAAGATACTTAGCCACTCGTTGAAAGTGTGAGGGTTATCTAAAATAGCCTGTTCAAACACATATTGCATTAGTTTACATTTTCTTTTTGGCAAAGGAGAAACACAGAGACAAAAGAGAGGGGGGAAAAGGAGAGGTGGTGAAGGTGGAGGAAGGAATTTAACCCTTCTTGAACTTTGTAAACAGAAATGTTATGAGGAAAATGCAAAGCTGCTGTGGAATCTTTACTGGCGAGCCAATGAAACCCATCTTGGACTCCATTATCTTCCGTCACATGCACATGGAAATTCTGCTTCCTCCAAACCAGCTCCTTTGCATTTTTATAAGCACCCAGAGGTTTAGACCAGACCAGAGCCCGATGTTTCAGTGCATCACTTTGTCCAATCTGTACCCTACTTCTCTCAGAATTCATGATTAACACAGGCGAAGAATTTCTGATTACACAGACTGATAAATTAGTGGACGTGTTTCAGACAGGACCAAACAGTGCTTATTCCAAACCCAACTTTCCCTTTTTTTCCCTCTTGGCTTCCTGATTGTCCCACAGCCTTCCCTGTCATACTACCTTAATAAGTGCCGCGGATGAAAATGTCTCAAAAGAAAGGAATGAGAAAAATCACTAATTTGCAAGAACTGCCGATATGCTATTATCCTACTCACGTCATCACAGAAAGTACACGTTCAGTGAACGGCAATGCGAGAACACTGAGGAGCAGTACAGGAGGGGGTGGGGACTGGCAGGGCTGCTATATAAAATGGGACAGGTGTTCAAAGTTACGATATTGTCTAAGGAAGATCCATCATACTGATCGGTGTCACTGTAAAGCTACTTTTCTTGGGGTGTGGAGAAGGTGGAGGTGGAGGTCAGGTTTTCATGTGCTGGGGGGTCACGCAGGACTGGGGGTGTCAGTGACACATGGGTAATCTGTGTGAAGGATGGTCATGCACTAAACTTCGGGCTGCACTGCTAATGCAATAACCTACCAGCCATGCATAATGATCTGCCCCGGCTTCATATTAAAATATATTAGGCATTACAATATCCTATAAAACAAGAAACCTCCACAGTCTACTCCAAAGAAATAGGCTTGAAACTACTCAAATAGTGAGCTGCACCAGAAATCAAGTTCACTTTTTTTTAGCTTCCCTGGCAGCCTGTGTTCACGTAGTTTTCTCTTATTCTTACCCTACCTTCAGAGCTCTCTCTTTATATTTGTACTTCTACTATTCACTTTTCCTGGTTTTAGTAGAAAATTAACGGTAGCTATGCACATATATTAACACATATATATATGTATCACACACAGTGTGTAGTGTGTATGCATAAATAGATATATATATGTACTGTATAACAAGTAGGATAAGTAGAATGTTTTTAAAAATGCATTAAGAGGAAATGAATGTTTAACTGTGGCATTTCTATGAATGCTTCAGTTTTGCGTATGAAGTAAAGAAAGGCAGTTATTTTGTGTAAAAAAGAATGCAAAAGCTGATTATGTTTTTTGACTCCTCTTTTTCTAGAAGAAAAAGATTACACATCATTATTATTTTAAGAATCTGTTTCTTACAAAGAAAAATAAAAAGCTGAGAACCATTTAACTAGACCCATGTCTGATGTTGTCTATACCCTAAACGTCATAAGCACTGGGGCTGTTGCATATATGAAAGTCCCTAATTCACACAGAGAAACATTCTGAATTAAAACTTTTGTATCGTTTTTTTTTTTTGCTTTTTTGGCTGCCAGCATCTTCTACATGTTCAAGTAATTTTGGCAATATACAAGATAGCTTATCACTTCCTCAATAAAATGGCTTCCAAATGGATATTTAACTCTAACACTGCCATGTGATGCCAAACAGGCTTTCTTCTTAGTTATCACTACCTCTTCCTTTGTCAGCTGGAAATTAAAAAGCCCATTTAGACAGGCTGAACACTGTTTAGCACCCAATAGGGCATAGCAACGTACACAATGCTAGAACAGGTTTTGGCTTCATACTGTATTATATCGGACTGAGTCACCACAGCCCTGTTAAAGGCTATCCCATTTCCTAAGTACTGCAGTATACCAGACAGAATCCTTACAGATTCTATAGTTACAGACACATAAACATTTATTATCCGTCTTAAATCACTGCTTCCGAATCATGTATAATTAGGGGTTAAGGTATTACAGAAAATAATGGAAACCCCCCCAAAAAACAACCAAAAAAAAAACCCAAAACAAATGACGTGCACCAGTTTATAAAAGTAAAGCCTTCCTGTGTCTTGCCTTTTTCCTTTATAATAATGATCAACAAGGCAGATATCTGAGTGTGATGGAAACAATGTTGCCAAAATGATTATTTCCCTGATTTTTTGTTACTTTCTCTTTAATTATTTCAACTGGATACATACTTCTAAAATGGACACCATGGAAAGGTAATTATTAGAAAAATGAACATAAACTTTAAACATTAAAAACTATTAAAAAAAACAAGAAGAAATTAAAACTAAAACATCCCCATAAACCACTTTATAGGATAATAATACCACATAACATTTTTACAGAAACTACTGTAAAAGGCTACATTATACTTGCAAGTTCACTTTTAAAACAATATATCTCTCTGGAGTCGGTGCATGTTTTTGTTACAGGTTTTTCAGAAAAGATTGCATAATTTTTTTAATTAGTTTTTCTTTTTTTGCCGGGAACTTCATTAAAGCTGAAGCAAGTATCTTCTGTTGACTGAATGTCTTCATTTTGTGGGAACAATGGTAAAATTCTCAAGTGGCTGTGTTCTGAAAACAGACTACTATCCGCATCGTGCTGACGGCTGGTTTGGCAAAGGATATTGTGTTGGGTCTTGCATCACATTAAGGATCTGAAAGCAAAACAAAACAAAACAGATGAATTTGCAATTCCTTCACTCCAGCAGCCTTTGCATTATGACATCTCAATTTTCTAACAAGATTATGTCACATCACAACTCTGCATACTACTGTTCACCTGGACGAATTGTACAGTATACTTTTCTTAATGGCTTTAATATACATTTGTATTGACCTTTACAGAACAAACACATTTGTTCACTACTTTATGTTGCTATCACAGCATGATAAATGTGTTCTCATCCTGGGTACCGAGCTTCCAGTTAATACATTGTACTGTCACTCTCACACTGGTTTGGATTTTTGTTTTAATTGCTAAATGTGAAATGTCATTTTTCAACTCAACGTGAAATATCATGGGAGTGATGGAGTCTGAAGGCTGATTGTTCTTTGACCTTTTCTCACTGTTAATTTAGTCAGCTGCTGAGGTACTGATTCCTGAACCTACAAATTCAACCCAAGCAATTGCTGTCATCAGCTGCCGGTTCTGTGCTGGAGTAACTTTACAGCTCTCCAGTTCCTGGAACCTACAGTATATTAAGAACAATTATAGCCAGGTCGCCGCTCTGAAGGCTTCTGAAAATCACCATATTAAAACTAATGTTGCACATGTGTTTCAGGAGACAGAAAACAAAAATAAACCACTAAATTCAGGCACGACATGCTGTTGGTTCCTCTTCACACTTGCCTCCTGTTTTACCAAGCGATAAAGGTTGCTGCAGTCATGTTTTTTTCCAATTCGTAAAAAGGGTTTACTTGCATTGTGGTTGTATTAGAACAAAAAGCAAATTACACAGTTTTTCTCTCATTTGTATACACTGAGTGTGATCAATGAGAAATCTGATGACAGAAAATGGCTTTTACGGAGTCGGAAAACAACAGGTACAGTAGTTACGCCCTAGTAACTACTAGAGAGAATAGTATAGGATTATGAAAAGTTATTAAACTGAAAAGTTTAATGTTGTTTTACTCCATTTTTGTGTGACTGATATCGTTATCTGATGCTGACGTTGATTATCAATGTTAATTTATACAGTACAATTTACAGCACAGCATGTGTTGCTGTGTCCATGAAGCACTGTAGCTCACCATGGTCATATCGCAAAGTAGAAGTCTGACATACTGCCTTCTATTTAACAAACTTGTACACCCATTTGCAAACTGTTCTTCTGCGTGCCTTATTTTAAGACATAAGAAAAAGTCTTGCCCCTTCCAGAGTCCACTTCTCCGGAGAGTGGAGTGTTGGGGACAAGAAAGCAAACCTTGATGCCTTATACTGCAGTCAGCTCCTACACTTCTTGAACATGATTTCTCTTCCCTCCGGTTGTACACTACTTCCAAAGAATCCTACGCATTATTAAACCAGCACTCCTGCTCTCTCTCACCCTAGCGTTGATCCTGCATCAGCAGGATCCGCTTCTCGGCACGCCCGTCTCCAATTGGTGGTTCGATTTAGTGGTCGCTCCGCCTGCCATTGTGGGGAGGGGGTTGGGGAGAAGAACAAAGTAATGCAGCCAATTCATAGAGGGGGATTATTAGGCGGCATGGGAAATTTGGCCAGGACGCCAGGGTTACACCCCTGCTGTTTTCGAGAAACACAGACCGCAGAGAGTCATTTTACGTCTCATCCGAAAGACATCGCTCGTTTTACAGTATAGTGTCCCCGTCACTATACTGGGGCATTAGGACCCACATGGACCACAGGGTGATCGCCCCCTGCTGGCCCCCTAACACCTCTTCCAGCAGCAAACTTAGTTTTTCCCAGGAGGTCTCCCATCCAGGTACTGACCAGGCTCACACCTGCTGAGCTTCAGTGGGTTGCCAGTTGTAAGTTGCAGGGTGACATGGCTGCTGGCTAAACCAGCACTCCTGCTAATGCCTGTTTACTAAAGAATTACTGCTTACACTGACTTAATATAGTGTATTAAACCACTTATTTTAAGTGTTTATCACAAACACACATGGATTTTATATGGATGCATATTTTAGGTATATTTTAATTGAATTGAATGAAACCCTTCTAAACAAACTTCCTGTAAGTTTATTTCACCATGCCGTCTTCACAATGTTAAATCTAAAATTCTGCTTGTTGCCTATGGCAACACTGTTTTTTCAGTATAGAATAGAACCCCAATATTTATCTCCAGCATCCTTAACCCTTGCCTTGAAAGGGTCAAGGTTATGGTCTAAATGTACACATAAATCCCATTTATCACATAAATCTTTTCAATGCTTCTTAACGTGGGTGGAGGTTTAGAACATTAATAAAACACCCTTTTTTTTCTAAATCCCCCACCGTAGCAACTGTATCAGCTAAACAAAGTTTAATTGCATCAAAACCAGCAATACAGCAAGAAACAAAAAACACAAGCTGCCCACCCCCTATGGCAATAGAGCCTTTCCGTGACAGTTTCAGGTTTAGGGTTTGTACAAGGATGGTTCAAATGACTCTGTGCCTAATGTATGCAAAGCAAGCACACAAAATAAGAACACACATCTTTGAAAGTGATTTGTTAACCGATCATTCCTGCAGTTCTTAATTTCCCTCCTGAATGAGCATTTCTTCCACCTCATTCGGGGGCCTCAGCCTGTTTCAGCTCATTGTTTACAATCCACTTTGAACACAGATCACTTTAGAAAACAGGTGAGTGTTGTTTGCTCTTCCATCTGTACATTTCTGCTCCACCCAGTACACCCTCTTAATGTCACACTCTTGAATTTGAGACACAGGACAAGTAATACATATACTCTCATAACTGCTGCTGCTCTCCCCCTTGAATGTACCAGAGTTACTGTGCGATGATTCCCCTCTCAGGTTTCTTCAAACCCTACAGGATCACATGGATCACACAGTGGCAAGACCTTCCTTCTCATCCCATATGATTCCTAAAAGTATCATGTACATTAATACACTAATGTTCCAAAACCAAGCTGCTTTCCTCATTAACCTCAGTGGCACCCTGACCTAGTGCCATCCAAAAGACTCTTGTCACAATTAAACTTGGCACAGTTTGGACATACACTGAGAATATGCATGTGTATGTAATATAAGACAATAGTAAACATACAGTATGAAACAAAGCCATTTAGGTTTTAGTGAGGTGTCCGCATATAAAGGAGAACTGTTTTAATTACTTTCATGTAAAAGCACATGTCCTGTGGTGACTTCTAGCTTCTAAACATCGCAAAAATGAACAGATCAATGGAATTAGCTGTAAATATAACTGTTCAATGATCGTTTAAGCTTTCCCGGTCTGGAATCCATCAAGCAGGCATACGGCCAATCACAAACGCACAAATATGCTGTATGTAACTAGAATCATCATTGTGTTGCTACTTGAGTATTTCAGTGAAGCAGCACTTACACCTCGCTTTTTATTGGCCAAATGAATAAACTGTGTGTAAAATCAGGTGTGATGCATTTATTCACTTCAATACTGAAGTACTATCCGGAGGTATCAGCTTTCAACTTAACAGCTCACCTCCTCGGAGGTGCAAACACAGCAAATATAGAAATAATGTCAGGGCTCAAGGAAACGGTTTTGGGTTTTAAATTCTCAGAATAATGAGGATTTCTTAAGGAAATCAAAAATTTAATTAAATTTAATTAAGCAAAAATGTGTATTGCTTAATAAACAAACAAATAAGAATCACTTTAGTGCATAAAACCACTTCAGGAATGATACATTATGAGTTCAACTAACTTAAAATATCTGTACATAAACTGAACCACATTCAGTTTTAGTACAGATATCAAAGTTTTAAACAACATTTGTGCAGAGAGCAGTGCAAGCCATTTTGTTTAACCACTAAAGTATGTATTGTTTAGTAAAATGCATTCAGGTTCAAGAGATGAAAAGGGAAGCTTTAGTAATGTAACAGAAGTCAAGGGCTCCACTTCATAATTAAGACACAATTCTTTCTACATGCATTAGAAATTAGAACAGTTACAAACCAGAGGACGGTCTATCTAGCCCATTTGGCAGTAGCTAATTGATTTAAAGATATCATCCAGACGTTTCTTAAAAGAAGCCCAGGTGTCAGATTAACTACAGTAGATAGCTTTTCCCATATTCCCACAACTATTTGGGTAAAGAAGTGTCTCCTGTTCTCAGTTTTAAATACACTTCCATTACCTCCCTGTAGTTTTCCCTGTAAGCACTGCTTGTTTGACATTGCCAGTGCCTTTCAGGATTGTAGTCTTTTCAGCTCAAGACTAAAAAGGTTTAGTTCCTTTAGTCTGTCAACGTAGGACATCCCTTGAGCCCAGTAAATGTATCTGGTTGCTCATCTCTGGACCAATTCCAGAGCACCAACATCTTTTCTATCACATGGTGACCAACATTGTACACAGAATGTTAATGAGGCCTTTCTAGTGCAATGAACAATCTTACTATATCAACCCTATTTTAGCAAACTGTAACATGCCTTTAACCTCTATTACAAAAACAATCCTCTTAAAGTAACTTTCATTTCATCCCACTTCCTCTTCAAAGAGTTGCAGGAGCTTTCACAGGTCTTAAAACAGCATTTTTGTCATCCACAGGTCTGTCTCATCTTAGTGTAAACTAAATAAACCCAGTTTGAGTTTAATTATCTTTGCTTATCCTCACAGTATGGCATATGAAAGGCACATAGGTGTACAATACACATCTGTTACTGTATAAATTAAGGATTCAATTTAATATGTGAAAGTACAGTTGCTTGGTTGTTAGATTGCTTGGTTCAGGAGGTGTTGTTTACATGCAGCTGGAGGAAAGAGCTTATTATCTTTTCAAAGAACTATTATTTTGGCATGCCTGTCAGATTTGGTGTATTTTTAAGGAAATTAACAGATGCTCACTGCATGAACATATATACATAACAAATAAGAAGCTTCTGTGGAATATGTTTCTTTTCTCAAGACATAACTGTCATTTGAAAAGAACAAGAGAAACCATCAATAATCAGTCATTATTTTATCATTTGTATTATTACACTGCTTCATGTTCCAAAATGTATGTTTGACCAAGTGTTTACTATATCACACTAGCAATAGACCAATAGGATCCAAGGGATCCCAGGGCTGCTTAGTAGTAGATATCAGTCCAACAGCTGCTCAGTTTTCAGTCAGTATTGCTAGATAGCTGGCTATGTATTTTTCCAGCAAGTGTAAGAATGCTACCAAGAAATCAAAATCACAGTGATGTTATTATGAACCTATTTATTTCTTACTGTGCCCCATTATATTCCCTTAATCAATACAATGCAATAATTAACACTGTTCTTCAACACTGATTAACCAATGCACACTCTGCCTTTCTGTCTTTAGGATATGTTATAATTTGATGAATGTAGAACCAGCATGTGTAGATTTTACATGTGATAATAATAATAATAATAATAATAATAATAATAATAATAATAATAATAATAATAATAAACAACTTTATTTTATATAGCGCCTTTAAAGGTGACTTCTCAAAGCGCTTTACAGGATGACAACAACAATAAATAAGAAGAATACACAAGATCAAACACAATTACAATATATAGAGGAGACCGTGGATGGTGGTACTAAGAAGAACAGAGGGGTGAAGAGTGGAACCAGTTAAGTAAAGGCTTTTCTAAAGAAGTGGGTTTTGAGTCTGGATTTGAAGGAGTTTAGAGAAGGTGACTCTCTGATATCCTTGGGCAAAGAGTTCCAGAGCTTGGGGACATAACAGGAAAAGGCCCCGTCACCCATACAATGTAGACAGACTTGGGGGACAGTAAGGAGAGCAGAATTAGAAGAGCGAAGGTTGCGAGGTGGGGAGTAGGGCGTTAATAGTTCAGACAGGTACTGAGGTGCCAAGCCATGCAGAGCCTTATAGGTGAGCATGAGGATTTTAAAGTCTACATGGAATTTGACCGGAAGCCAGTGCAAGGACTCCAGGATAGGAGTAATGTGAACACCTGCACTATACCTGGTCAGGATTCTGGCTGCTGAATTTTGGACATACTGCAGTTTGTTCAGAGTAGATTTAGATACCCCAGCGAGTAGAGTCTCTCTATAGTCTCTACCCAGCCCTGCCGGGACAGAATGTTGGCTGCTTGTGTGCTCCGATCACACAGAGTGCCACTGCCTAGAAAGCGTAACTCCACCACGGCCAAAGATCAGGTCTTCTTCCACATCAGTATCCTACACCATTTCACAGGGAGTCATGTCACTTCTGTAACTCACTCAGTGCACTCAGCAGTCACCCGGTACAGGGGTCACTAGTATGCAGCACTCTTACAGGCTACATGTTCACCCTGGCAGTTTTTCGCTTATCTGGGCACCCCAGTCACATACTGTATGACCATTGATCTGTATGCAATTGCCAGCTGCCAGTCCTGTAATACTTGATTATGAATACTTTATTATTATTGTTCTTATTCCTCTCTTACAGAGAAAGAAGATTTACAACACTTTATGATTAATTCATTCTTGTCAGCTGAGAGACTTTTTAAACTGTTAAAGGTATTTGCTTTGAAGTGAGCTTACCTGCTCTGCCCATCTCTAGTCCTGTAAAAGAGAGTGGATTTTCAACCAGGCACCCAGCTCTGGGAGGAGGTCTGTTTAGCACCAGTGAAGTTCCCCACATTAAGGTTGACAACATTCTGAGCGGAGATGAGCGAATCAAAGTTGAAGTCCAAACCATCAGCATCCATGAGCTCACTGCGGATGATGGAGTCCATATCACACTCCAGGCTGCCATTAAACATGTCCAGGTCAAGGTCACTAGGGAACTTGTCCTGATTCATGGACGGAAGGGTGATGCCACTTTCGCTGAGACTGGAGTATAAGGAAGAGTCAGAGCTACAGATTTGCATAGATTGGTTACTGCCACTGGGAGACTGGAGCTGGTGCTTGGCAGAAACCAGGCTGTTGGTCTCATTGGCCAGGCCGATGCCCCCGTTGACCAGGCTGGACAACCCAGCCCGGCTTCCCCCCAGCGAGTTCTGAGAATGGGGATGAGGGTGCAGCAGGCTCCCATGGTTCACAGGGCTTCCCTGGTTCGACTGGGAGGCGGTGAAGGACATCATCGGGTCACTGCGCAACATGATGTTCCGGCGGGAGCTCTGCGAGGAGACGGAGGTGCTGGCCTGCGACATGAGAGGATCCGACTGAGTCATCATGACGTCACTGTGGCTGTGCGAGTCTGAGCTGAGCAGATCCTGCAGGGTTTGGTTGCCAAAGTGGGAGATGCAAGAGAAAGTGGCCTGCTTGTTCTCCTGGATGGTCTGCATGGGCGACTGGCGTAGGCCAGTGAGGGACGGGGTGCCGAAGATGGAGTTGGGGTAGCTGCCAGAAGGGGAACCCAGGCCCGTGCCTTTGGAGCCGTAGGTGAAGCTGGAGCTCCTCTGCATGATCCCGCCACCCCCATTGCTGCCGTTGACACTCCCTGGAGACTGTTGCTGGGAGGGGGTCAGGTTGATGTTGTCAAGAAGGTCATCCATCAGGTTGTCCGAGAGCCCTTCATTGAGATTCATAGTACCGGCCAAGTCTGCCAGCCTGGGGAGCTCTGTGGAGCAGGGTTTGCTGACCGAAGGGGACAGACTGCTGGGGCTGGAGTACAGCATGGGGGACAGCGGTGCGTCGTCGTCAGGCACCTCGTCCAGCTCAGGGTTGGCTAAGATTGGCGAGAGGCGTCCGCTGATGGTGCTCGCATTGGAGTTGGTGCGCGAGCGGAAGTCGGTCCAGGGGTCCATCTCATCGCTGCTGCGAGAGGTAGGGCTCCCCGGCCACTTGTTGAGCTGGCTGGAGGGACTCTCCGCACCCCCCTCTTGCCCTGCTTGCAAAGCTGCCTTCTTCTTGGCTGCGCGCCCCCGGCTCTTGCTGTACTTGTTGCTGTTGTCCATGGAAACGGCCCGTCGGCGCGGGGCCTTGCCACCCTTCCCACCATCCGGATTGATCATCCACCAAGAGCTCTTCCCAGTGCCCTCGTTCTGCACCCGAATAAAACGACTGTGCAGCGACAAGTTGTGTCGGATGGAATTCTGGGAAACAGGAAGTGAAAGGAAGAATCAATTAACTGGTATTCTATGTTTTCACAACATAAGAATAAGTGTGGATTTTTTCTACATTGAGGACAAAAGATTAATTATTGAACAAAGTATTAGATGGAATAATTCCAGATTTGTATCAATTATTATTATTTGTACACCCAGAAGTAAATTAAATTTGACCAAATGCTTTGAGATTTATCAGTTACCCAGATTAATATTTCTGGCATTGTTGTTCATATAAGATGGCAATATAGCTAAAACAAACTACAAACTATCTTCTGAAACCTGGCAACATCTTCTGTTGATTCTTCTAAAAGAACTGTTGGTGTACTTCTAAACCAGTTGGTTGATAAAATGGCTTCCAGCAATTACATTACATATCTATTAGGAAATATCCTTTTACCGTATTAAATTGTAACTGTTCTGTACTATATCTGTTTACTATACTCCACTGTACTGTACTAAATCACAGTTTACTATTGTAACAAAAAAAGAACAACCTATGGAAAAGGCAACCCTCTTTTTTATGTTGGAAACTAGAAACATTTCTGCATTACTAAAACAGAAAATCAATGTTTTTTTTTTAATTCTTTCAGTTGTATACCTTACTAATTTTAGAGAACAAAAAGACACCCACCATGATGTTGCACAATTAAATTTCTAAAGAAATAATTGGTTGAATCTCTTCCATACTGTATGCCCATCATTCTGTTATACTGTTTTATATTAAGCTTCAAACAAGTTACTTCCAATATCCATAACTACAAACTGTTTCTTTTTTAATAATATATATATATTAAATTATAAATTTTAAAAGAGTGTAGTTTCAATCCCTAACCATTTTATTATTTTTAGGTTACAAATACAGATAACAACAGCATTTGCTTAACATAAAAATAAGTGAAGTAAAAGTCCTGGTTGGTCTTTGTGGCGAGAATTTATGACCACAGATGTGTGGAAAAAGGACTGTGTTACATTAGAGGCGAATAAGCCAAAAATAACAAAAAGTACAATAATGATGCAACAGCCACGATATATCTGGAAGATCACAATTGTGTTTGCTGTGCGGCCTCTTTGAACAACAGAAAAGGTCATGGTGGATAGATTTATTGGGGGACAACATGAAAAGACCAGATGTGTTTATATTTAAAAAGGCCCTGTGAACATTCTGAGTCAAGCTGAAATATGTTTTTCCTACCAGCTCATACATTTTTGAAAAGGCACATGATGAAAATTTTACATTACAGAAAGTCTAAGACTCCCAATGCAAAGTTTTTTTTTTAATTATCAATTTAGCCTTTGCTCAAGGTCCTAAACAGTGGGACAGTTATAAGTTCATGTGCCTTAATTAGCAATGACAAATTCCCAAGAAGGCACGTTGGGGAAAAAAGTCTATACCTAAGCTCAACATTGGCACTCTGTCACATTTTTTCAATATGTTGCCAATGTCTGCTTGCAGACACTTAAAATGCCTAAAAAAACCCACTGAAACAGCCTTTTACTAAGGCACAAAAGCCATCTCTGAGTTCAGCTCAGTTATGCAACTACAAATGACCGCCTTCTGTCAGGACGCAGATCAAGAAAAGGCCTCTCTAGCCAAATTGGCTTTCAACCACCCAACCTCACATTCTCTGCCATGCTCAAAGGAAAAGCCAAGGACAGTTTATCCAGTATACCTCAATGACCAAATCACAATAAAACTCACTCCCCCTACACACAGCATTTCATCTGAGCCTGTTATCAGAAGGGTATTAACTGCATTTAGACCTGTTTGATTTTTATTAGTACTATGTGTCTTTATGAACAGGAGGGTTGGGTTCATACTCTCATTCATACAGTAATGCAGTGTAACAAGCCGAGCCTTTCTTTCTGCTGCCAGCGTATTCTTATCTTTTGATCTTTCAAGTGGACTGTCTTTTCTCTACAGCTCAGTTTGGAAGTCCTTCGAGATCCTTGGTCTCTTACATAGCTGCTCTTCCAGTGAGGACTGATTGAGCTGCGTCCATCTCCAGGTCCTTGCGGGTCTCTTGTTACACACAGCTTCTGTCTCATCACACTCTCCTGATCTTCTGTTCATCTCATTAACTATGTGTACGTTAAATCTACCTCACGCCACAGCATCCAGCTCTCTCTTCAATAACTCTCGACCGTTCACAAGGCAATTTTTATTCAAATTGCTCTTTGACTTCCATCTCTCTTTGTCTCTCTTACTTGACATTAGATGTAGACTTACTCGGCAGTTCCCAGTTAAACAGCAAACTGTTTCTGTGTCAGGGATGTCAAGGTTTGTTATAGAGAGTTGTCCCTGGCCAAACAGGATCAGTCAGAGTAAGAGCAGTGAGGTGTAAGAGGCAGAGAAAAACTACACAAGCATGTGGTATGATGCAGTGACAAAAGAGAGTAAAGCAAAATAATTATCTTTCACTCTCTTTCTAAAACCACTTGCCTGTCTGTCTGAAGCTCTTGTTACACTGGCTGCACTTGTGACTCAACTGGTGCTGTCTAGACTCCCCCTGGCAACCATCCAGAAGCTTTGATGCACCTCAGTATGGTATATTTCAAGGTAGAACCCCTGTCTGTGGAGGTCTCATTATCTCTCCTTCTCTGTTCAAAGTCATACAGACTACAGTAAATCCCTTGCTCCCCACCTAGTTTAGACTCTTACCAGGGCAACTTTAAACTTTTATCTATCACTATCAGTATCTCTGCCTAAAAATTGTTTGGTGTAATAATTGATTAAATAAACACTACATTTAGTAGTGAGGCTATGAAAGGTATAAAAAGAAAATTTAAAAAGAGAATACTTACAACTTGAATAATTTGCCTTTTTGTTGATTAACCTTTCTGTTTGCTAATATGTAGTCAGTACTCTTGTTAAGTCATTATAATAAGCTGAAATAATGATTTTTTCGTTTACTACTGCAACTCTTATGTATCAGATGCTTATTTATTCTGAAAAACACAAACTATCTTAGTAGGCATGAGCAGCAAATAAGAGAAAAGATTTGCAAAGGGCCAATCACGAACTGGAGCTGCTCAGATACAGATGCAAGAGAGAGAAGGCTTCCTTTTCTTTTGATGAGAAGCGTTTAGCGACTGTGCCACATCAGGAGCAGTCAGGTCTTCGAAATACAAATGCTTCTCGGCAGTTTTAAACCCTTCCAGCAGCTGCTTCAGATAACCCCTTTCCAAGTTAATCTAACTCCTTTCAGATTTTCCACACGTCTGGACACACTATGTGTTAAACTCGGCTCTGTAATCTCTTAAAGGATCTCACAGGAGTCAGATAAAAAGGTTTATTGCAGTACTCTTGTTTAAACCAAAGAGGTTTTCTTTTACAAGGAACTTATATTTGTGGGTGGTGTAATTGACAGAACAAATATTTGAAAACAGCTGACAACAAGAGTAATCAATAACCCACTCTGCCACCCTACTTTTACTCATTTGTCATGTACCTGCACTGGCAATAAAAAAACTAGTGCAACTACTACATTACAAATAAAACAATTAGAATTCATTCTGAGACGTTTCTGAAGTGTCAGAGGTAACAGTGCACAGCGGTTCTTTGGAATAATGCAATGTAAATTATTGAGTGATTTTAGGTTTTACAAATGCAATGTATTGTTTTGGGGGCTGGCTTTAGTTTCAGTTTTTTCTGTCATTGTTCCACTAGCAGAATAAGCACCACAGGCACTTTCTCAATCAGGTTCTAAGTTTGTTTAATCACGTGTCTCAGTTTCTCAGTCACAATCACTTCTTTTTTTTCTAAATGATGAAATACTTAGTTGTGTCACTGTTCTGTCTAGAAATTGTAACCAGTAACTAGTTGGCTCTAAGAATGTCTGATCTCTCAGTCTTGGCATTTCAGGAAAGTGCCAACAATTCAGTTAGAAAGGAAGGCCAATCAGTCTGTTGATGTTGGTTTCCTGCAGTTTCTGGTACAAATCTACAAGGTCTCTGATAAGAGAAAAACTTTAATCAGCTGTCCAGATCCATTTTTATAGAATTAAAAGGCTTCAAAAGTAAGAACATTACACTGCAATCATTTCCATTAACAAACCTATTAATCTGTGAAAGAAACTACAATACAGCTGTAAATCCAGCCATTCATTTTCTTACTGCTTCTTCCAATTAAGGGTTGTGGAGACGCAGGAGTAGCCTACTCTGGCAAGCAACGAGCAACAAAGCAGGAGACACCCTGGACAGGATGCTAGCCCATCGCAGGGCACACACGCACACACTCACACCAGGGCCAATTGTCCCATTGTCCCAGAAGTCAATTAATCTAACAGCATGGCTTTGGACTGTGGAAGGAAATCTGAGCACCCGGAGCAAAACTCACATGAACACACAAACCCCATGCAGACAGGACCCCAGGCAAGAACTGAACCCAGGGCCCCAGCACTGTGAGGCAGCAATGCAAACCACTGTACTACATCAGCATAAAATGCATTTCCAGAACAACGGAGCTGAAATTCTGTTGTTAAACTGGATGTGGTTCAATATCAGCATTTTTATCAAATGTTACATTTAAACCATGTTTTATTATTACATTTAGACATTTCTTTGTGGTACTACATGTGTATTTGTTTATTTTTATCTATGTGTTTAAAAGCAAATTTAATAGGGTCCTATAGATTTAGATATACCTCTTTACATATACAGTACATCCAGTGTATTTTGATTATTGAAATTATTAGCATGCTTTCACTTGATAAACTTGTTCAAACTGTTTTCTTTACACCTGTTTTAGACCTAGTGTTTGCTCAGCAAGGCGCAGATGTTTGAATGAAGGGGAATGCTCAGAAATGTGGACTTGGAACACTACTGCTCCTGAACAGATCTCTGTCTCATGTCCTACTGCTTCCAAAGATTTATCACACTGCAGCATACAGTACATTCAAGCAATAAGGATACTCGCAGGATAGGATTTGCACTGCTTTACCTACAACGTGTTCACTAGACAGCACTGTCACAGGGAATCTCCACCT